CTTATAATGTTGGCAAGTGTAAAAGTATATTTTATTTGGAACATATTACTTTTCCTTACAACTAAAAATAATTGCTTATTTTGATAGTGGAGTAGAGATTAATTTCAAAATAAACTACTTGCTTATTTTCAACTTTATCTAACAAAAAATATTTTAATACTTACTTATTTCTTAATTCTTAGTGATGTTGGATATTGTCTCCATTTTCTGTCATTATTCTTTTTGAATTAAACTACTTGTACAATGAATTTGCACAATAATTTTGACAATGTGTGAGGTGTATAGATCATTGCCACTGAATTCAAAAACAATCTTTCAAATTAATGGACATAATGTCTGCCAACTCACACATTATCCACCTTATTGTCAAATTCATTGTACAATTGAGGTGTATAGATCATTGTCATTGAATTAAAAAATAATATTTCAAATCAACGGATATAATGCCTGCCAACTCACACATTGTCAAACGTATTGTCAAGTTCATTGTACAAGTAGCACAATTCTTTTTTTTTAAATATTTTAATTTTATAATTAGTGTAGGACATTTTTTCTATATGATTTTTTGTCACGCATGAAAAGGGCATAAGGCTCATAATTGATTTTGTTTTGTTCTGTTTTTCTTGCTTTTAATCAATCAAATCTGTATATAAGTAGAAAAGTAGGGTCCACACTATATTTAATCCAATAATAACTGAAAAACAATTTAAAACATCTAAAAGGGAAAGTCGGTTGATTTACACAGGATTTTAATGATTTTATCATATTGAAGTTACATACTCGACATTGATTCGTAGGGACCATGGGTCCTTGATAAATTCTTTTTTCTAAACTTTCAATGGAGCCGCAACTCGATTTACACATACACAAGACGATTTGAAAGGAACTAGAGTTGATCAAATACCTAGAAGCATAATGTGTTTAAACGGGTGTGATTTTAAAAAAATCGTATTTTACATGTGAAAATAGATTGATAGAGCTTTCCGATGGTGTATGATTCATCACGTCACAACAAATTTGAAAAATGAATGGTTTTTAGGCTATGCTAATTTTTTCTTGCCGTTTTATTCGTAACATCTTCATAACTCAAAGAACGGGTGTGATTTCAAATGATAGGGCTTTCCAACAATGTATGATTCATCACGTTATTATAATTTCAAAAAATCGATGGATCTTGGCTATGCTCGATTTTTATATGAAAATTTGAGATAGTAATTTTTAAACATGTATTATTGAATAATAATCGATTTCTAGCATGTAATAATATAATGCAGATAAATATGCCTCGTACTTTTATGAATGATTTTATTTTGTAATACAATTGAGTTTTTATAAATAATTTTCTTGATATTTTAAATTTAAGATTTATTCAAATATGAAACCAAACTATTTGTGAAATTTTAAAATTGATAAATAAAAGAGTTTCGCTCATGTAAAAAAAATTACAACGATACTTCCACACATTACGACCATATAAGAGATATTTCTATTTTCTCATGGATAATTTTTTGAACTATCGCTGCTTATCTTTCAATTCATCCATAATTATTAAATGAAATGTGAATAATCCGTCTTACTAAAAGCACCTTTACTATTTTTTTAATTGCAACACTTTGGTTTAATTGGGAACTATTTCAATAATAATTTTTTTATTTTTTCATCTGACAATTAAACACTTTTTTTGTTGTATTCTCTTGTATCATACTCAAGCTTGCGGGTACTCTCCTAAAATATTTTAAAAAGATAATATAATTTAAATGTGGAAGTATGTAGAAGCCAAAAATTGCACCTTTTCTATTATGTATAGACTAAAAAGTGTACGTTTTTTAATTTTTGTGTCTTTCTATTTATATATTTTCTTTTTGTTGTGAACCATACACTTCATGCTAGATGAGGCAATCTTTTGAATGTAGGACCCAATCACCTGTCCCCATTAGTATTTTGGGTTTTTTCATTTGTATCGAAAATGGATGACAACGAGTTTGACAACCTCTCACATATATGCAGGTCCCGCGTCAATAAAAAATTCCAAAAAAATGTGGGCCCTCCCCCTATTGTGAATGTTCGTTCAAAGTGTTTGTCAACAATTTTCGTTAAGTGTAGCATTGCTCGATAGTTGATTAGGGCATTAAAATCACGATCTAAGGCAAGAGTGTGTGTACGATAATGATAATATACCAATTCAGAAGTAGATAGACGAAAGATTAAGGGGAGATTATCGAAAACTAACAAGTAGACAATGTGCACCCCTCACATGATAATAAACAACATATTTCTCGAGTTTTAAGGCCTCAACACAAGCTTTTTAGCATATGCAAATTAATGTATAGTAACCTCCAATTCGATCTAAGCTATACTATTTACATATCTATACATTGTGACACAAAAAGCTAATCATATGCACAGGCTGTTGAAAGGAGCAAAAGCTATGATTATTGACATGTACTAATTGGAGTTGTCTGGTAGAGCAAAATTTTACAGGGATTTGTAAATCCGAGTCCGAGTTTCATTAAAGAATGGGTAAAATTGAAAAAAATGGAGTAGTTGTTTGATTATCGAGATAAATCTCTCTTTATTCATGGCTCGAATTCATAACTTTCGCCTTGACACAACCGTATTCCAACCTATCGAAGTTATTTTGTCTAATTATAAATTTATATCTTGCATTAAACCAAAAGCAGCCAAATCCGATTCCAAAATCTTCTGGATGAGGGCTTTCTTGAGACTAATCTCCATTACAGAAACATTTTAAAAGTTATCAAATGATCAAAACATAGAATTTTGACATATCATCCACGTGGCATCTGTTGATTGGCCACTTCTCACTGGGCGGCGCACCAAATAGACAACACTGGTTAGATTATGTGAATAGAAATTACTTAATGGAAATGGCAATGACAAAATCAGAACCTAGTATTGTCAAGGATTAAAAAGGTAAATTGCACTATTTCTCCCCAACTTATTGCTCCTTAATCAAGTTCATCCCGACTTTTAAAAGAGAATGAGTCATTCCACAACTTTTTATTAAAACTACAAAATTAATCTTAATGAGTAATGGCAAAAAACCATCTAATTCTTCATTAAACAACATATCCGATTTTAAATTATTTGACATGATGATTTAATGAAACTTTGAACTCTCTCTCGTTGAAGACTGGTTTACTGAAAGGTTGATGATCAACTTGTTACTCCAACGATAAATTGAAGAATGGTTAAAATAAAAGTTAAATTTTTAAATAAAGTTATTAAAAGCAAGTAGTGGGAAAACCTTAGGGAACACTATAACGGTGGAGGGTTGGCGTGAAAATGTGGTGTCACGCCGCCCAAACCAAACCTTTGATCCAATCTGCGGCCACCTCCCACGCGCAATAAATAACAATATGAATGTATCCCCCTTTCATCTCTCTTGTTTTCTGCAATATATAAAAATGAAAATGGAGGCTGAATTATCCTAATGTTGTGTCTCATTCAAAGTTCTGTACATGCCTGCTTCTGCTTATCATATAAATATACCCACCTTTCCAAAACCATATTAACCAACCTCTCACAATCCCAACAAATCTCTCTCTCTCTCTAGCAAGAGCAATTCAATTATTCAAGAACACAACAAGGTTGAACTTTCTGGTTAGTATTTTCTTATGTTCCTTTTGTCTGTTTGTGTATCTATTTATATATATTAATATTACATACCCCACACACACTGACTCTGTTTCAGCTCCATTTTTGAATTTTGTAATAGTAAGTTTTTTAAAAATGTGTGGTTAAAATGTTCGAAAAAAATTTGAGTTTACATGTAAAGTTATTTTATTGGTAGAACGTGGGGTCAAAAATGAATTTGAGGAAAAATAAGTCTTAGATAATGGAACTCAAACTGGGGCTTTCAGCTGCTAGCTGCAGCAGCAAAGTTATAGGTGTAAGGTGTACCCATGATTGTTTGATATTCTTTCGGAGTAGACAAATATCTTGTATTCAAGACTCGACGCCATTATTATGAGAAAATGAATACTTTGAAGACACAATTTCAATTAATGAATTTGTCACATATCTAACAATCTGAACTTTTAGATGAATTAATTCATCAGCCTAAAACTGCATGTGTTCTAGTTGCCAATATACGTACACTGTGCTTCCTTGGAGTTTTCGACTATATGGGAGTGTGAAAGAGAGTCTATAAGCATTTATTTAGTACACAAGAGAAGAAAACAAATTAATGTTGTATGAAAATGTTGTAATAAAAAGTTGGGTGTGAAAACATCTTCTACAGTACACAATGAGGCGTGGAGTGGAATGCACTCAAAAGAAAAATAAAACATGACTAATGTCTACAAAGGTCAAATTTATACAGCCACTTTTGTGTTCAATATACTTTGTCTAATTACAACATGCAAACAAGGGGATTGGCCATTGGCCTATGTTTCAAGAATCATTGTATTTGAGTGGACACTCACCTTCTGTCTGCCATTTTTCCTTAAATAACAAAATTAAATTTTAGGCAAAGGACCCCATCATACCATGTTTTGTGCTCACGAATGGATAGGAATGAAATCATGACAAATTCACAAGACAGACTTGCGTGTATTTTACTATTTTTCTGCGCTTTTTTTTTTTTTTTTTTAAACTTCATCAATAACAGTGTCTAGACTTCCAAAGGTAGCTTTTTTATGGTACAATAATCAAAAAGATTGAAAATATCTTCAGGGTTGCTCATGTTTGACGGTATTTAGAATAAATAAATAAATATTTTGTTTATTGCAATGTCTACTACTATATAATAACATAACAAACATACACTTCAAGGTTTAGACCTATATCTCCCTTCCTCAAGACTTGCTCTCTTTAGCATATTTATATATATATTCTTAGCTTTTCGAGGTCGAGTATTGAGGGCGACAAATAAATTGATATTTTATTCATTGTATAGTCCAGCGTATCATCTACCTCTTCCGATGAGATCTCTTTAACATATATAATCTGCATTCTTTTCCAGGGAAATATCAAGAATGGAAACGGAGTCATGTGTCCCTCCGGGTTTTCGGTTTCACCCTACAGAGGAAGAGCTAGTGGGTTATTACCTCAAGAGAAAGATTAGTTCCCAGAAAATTGATCTTGATGTCATAACTGACATTGATCTCTACAGAATGGAGCCCTGGGACATCCAAGGTACATATTGATTTGCATGACAGTACAAATTAAAAAGGATATGTGATGGTGTTTAGGAAATCAATGTAAATTCTGATCTAGTCTTAACTGCTAATCTAATTCTCAGTAATAGAGTGGAGATTTGAGCAAATGATCCTTCTTGATCAAGCAGACACTTTGAGCAAAAGTCATGATCTCTGATCTGGGGAAAAATTCACTGTTTTTTTGGGTCAAATGCTCTTTATTAATCTGTAGGGAAATTTGGGTTTAGTTTTTGCTAATATTCAGAATTTCTATAGGGCTTTCTTTTGTTAGTTTTATTTTAAGAATCTGATCTCGGAGTTACCTCATTGGGACTGTCGGTATAAACTTACTTTTAAGTACAATCCAACATGCAATGTCCTAACTATTTACGAACAATATTTTCTGCTGATCAGGAGTAGTTTCATTTGGCTTATTACAGGCAGTTGCAAGTTGGGATACGTAAAGCAAAACGAGTGGTATTTTTTCAGTCACAAGGACAGGAAATACCCAACTGGAACTCGAACTAACAGAGCCACTGCTGCTGGTTTTTGGAAGGCAACTGGAAGAGACAAAGCTGTGGTTTCGAAGGACAGAATTATAGGAATGAGGAAAACTTTAGTATTTTACAAAGGACGTGCACCATATGGAAGAAGAACTGACTGGATCATGCATGAATATAGGCTCCAGTATTCTGAAAATGGACCCCCTCAGGTAATTGCTTCAGCTCAATATATATCAACTTATAATTGCCGGAACTAGGTTTATGAGAAGGAACTTTTGTTTCAACCATCCTGCCTCAAATCCATGATGTTAGAGAAGTGAGACGTATATTTATTTCATTTTAGTTTTTAATGTCTTTTCAATTGCATATATCGGATTAATTTTTTATCAAATATCTCATGCGTGCACAATTTTAAATAATAGGTGACAATGAGAGTACTTGATTCTAGAGCATTTGCTTACTATCATAATATGCAAAACTATTTTATCTACAAGTTTAAGGTAATAGAGACGTGACATATTTATTTATTTAAACTAGCGTTCACCAAATTCTGAAACCCAAAATTATACACGTGCGTGTAAGAATGTAACTTGTAAGCATTCTACGTGCTTATAAATATTTCACATGTTAGACATTTGATGTCAAAATGATCTTCATCGGCCTAGCACAAGAGGAGCACATTGAAGACAAATTAATATAAAGTCTCTTGTCTATCTATGAGCTTAAGTTTTAGATAAAGTGATTATGTAGAATCAGAACAGTCAAATGTCTACACATATATAAAATTTTTGTACGTGTCAAAACTATTTAAAATAAAAATATTTATCTCGTCTTTAGTAATTTAAACTTTTAAACCGAAGTACACTTCACTTGTTCCAAATATAAGGTATCCCTTCAATAAGGGTGGCCAGTTTTTGGAAGAACTTTAATTATATGTAATGATTTGAAAGGTGTCTGCCATTCTTTTGTTAAAGCACTTTCTAGTTTCTACGGAATTGATACAGAATTTTGAATTTCACTCACATGGTGATGAGCCCCATGTAATTAAAATATTGTCAAAAACCCCCATCCCACCCACTGCTGTGTGTAATCTGTCTAGTACGGGAATTTACCTATAGCACGGTTCGGTTGGAATTGCTAATTGGATAGACAACCCATGTTGCCCTTCATTGTATTCGTTACCCAATCAATATGTTTTTCTCCCTTGCATAATTTTTGGAAGTGGTAATAAGCCTAAATTTATTGGAAACAAGGCTCATCTTCTGTTTGGTTTAGATAAAAAATCAGATTTTGGTATATTTTGATAAAGATTGATAGAATGTATAGTTGAAATGTTGTCGATCTCATGAAATGTGTGCTTAAAATTAATTATTGACTTTAATTTAAATTATAATTAGTTTTTTTAGCTGAACCAAATAGGGACTTAGCCGTTGTTTTTCCGTGTGTTGCAGGAAGAAGGATGGGTCGTATGTCGTGCATTCAAGAAACCAAGTCCGAGTCAAAACCAAGGTTTCGAAGCCAGTAATAATCCTTACTATGACAGCAGTTATAGGCCTCCATCATATCCAAGTACACCAAATACAATGCAAACATTTGATCCAATTAATCAAGGAACAAACTTTCAACCCTCACCATTTGCTGCAGATCAGCAGCTAATAGCCAACCATAATCGTTTCGAGTATCAGCTAGTCGAGCTTCCAAAACTCAATAGCCCATCGATATCTGCGACGAAAGAAAGTTTTGAGCATAATGCTATAGCCTGCAATGATGATACGGGAGATGAGATGAGAAAATATGATAATCAATACAGTGATTGGAAGAAGTTTGATAAGTTACTTGCATCACAAGTCATTGATGAACTTCCATCATTTGCACATCGACAAGTCCAGCTTCCAGAACTCGACTGCCCTTCGACCAAAGAAAGTTCCGCGCATAATACTATAGCCTGCAGTGAAGAGGAAGGAGATAAGAAGAGAAAGTACGATAATCAGTATAGCGATTGGAAGAACTTCGATAAGTTATTTGCATCACAAGTCAGTGATGAACCCTCATCGTATGCATACACAAACTTGCAGCCATTAGTCCCCCAAAATGATGAGCTTGAATGGTTTCCCGACATATAGTTTTTGACGAAATTCTTGGCCGGGATTCTAGAATAGTCAGCTCTACTCAATAAAGGATGACTGGGAAAGATCGAAGTAATTCGCAATTTCATAGATTCATTCAATGACCATTCTCGACTTCCATCAAGAGGCATACTTTTTCCTTAGATCATAGTACTGCCATATGTTGAGGTGGATTGAATTGTTAATTCACTTAATTTTTACTGTTTCTGTTATTAAAAAATTGTGAATTTCGTCAATATTATTGGAAACTTTGATTGAAGTAGATGAATTTATTCTCTTGTAGGTTAATTGAACATCTCTATCAATATACCTTTACAGGTGTTATAAAAAGTTGAATTTTATTGACCTATCGATAATAGGTGTAAGGAAATTGATTCCTTGGATTTGAATTTTCGGATTCCTCAGCAGCTGCAAATTATTCCAACTGAAGGAGCCTTTAACCACCTGTTTCAACTGCCATTTTTGGTTGGAATCCTCAACCAATTGGAGCCAATGTTAGTTGGTTAGTTTGTAACTGAAATGGAGCCTCATATATGTCTATAAATAACAGCAATAGGCTTGGAAAAAAAAGTGAGCCGGAGACAGAAAAGAAAGGGGCTCAACAGAGAGAACAATGTAGAATTTTTCTTGTATGTAGTAAGTGAGATTTGTAGAAAGCAAATCTGGAAATTTTTCTACATGATTCATGTTGTATGAATGTCAAGTATGGATAGAAAGTGAGATAAAGATAGGGTGGTAAAACTCTTGTATATCTAGCAAATATTTCTGATGACTTTTGGTTAAGAAAATCATGTTAAGTTTCTTGGTGAATAAAGAGGCTTGGGGAAGAGGATTTCTTCATGTTTAAATCTGTTCTGTGTTTTTTTTTCTGCTGGTTTTATATTTGTTTCTTCTATCTTCTTGCTGAATTGCTAGTGCATTTTTCTTCTATTAATTCTCTGCATTAATCCTGGAGCTGGGGGGAAGCCTAAATCCCCAACAAAAAATAATGTCTGTTGTACTAATACAACACATTATTCTTCCAAATTCTTCCAAATTTATATAATTTAATATATAAATAGATAGAAATGATTGATGAATAAGTGTATAGTATTTGTGGCTCCATTCAAATTTGTGGTTAAAAATCAAGTTTGATTTAGAAATTTTGCAAAAATAAAGACTTATATATCTTTAATTACGAAATTACACATCGACTACATGAATCCTTTTTTAACCATTCCATTTAGTTCGTTGCTAAATCTACAACTACAACTGACTATATAAAAATCAACTAAAATCCCATTATCAAAGCTTTTACAGAGAAGCTAGAAAAACATATAATCTTTAATTCATTTTCATCTTCGGATTAAACTTACTTTTCTTCTCTTAAATGCTTTACTATAATCCGCCCAGTTGAATCAGAATAGTTAGCAAGTACCTGTGTATTTCATCAAAGCTTAATTTCAATTGATCAAGGCAGTCTACAAACTGTCAGATCAACTAATTACAGTTAAGAAACATAAAATCCACACTAACTTAAGCAAAAAACAAGTGGTGCCCACTTCTCAGTAGACTCAAAATGCCAAACATAACATAGTGCAATAATTATTTTCCTTCAATAAAGGCCGTCCACAAACTATGAGACCAACTAAACTACAAAAGACAAATACCCTTCTAACTACACTAGATCAAGATAAAGATTTCCACAAATAAAGTAAAAAAAAAAAATTAAACAAATCCGATTACAAAAATTACTCTGAAATCTGGAAAAAAAAAACATAAACCCACAAAAAATTAATCAAGAAACGTGTGAAAAAAAGCACCTTTCTGGCGTTAAACTTTGATGAACGACACAAAGAGGTAGGAATAGAAAGAGTAGCAGCAGTAGCAATGGCGGACATGGCCGAAGAAGTGGTGTAGTTTCAAAGTTGACAGATACTCAATTGAGAGAGAGAAAATTGTGAAACATTTTAGCGAGAGATGTTTGTTTTGTTGATAAGAGGTTGGTGTTGTGCGCAATCTGAGGTAGCCTCCCAAACGTTGCCATGTGTAAACTCGTGGGAATTCCTGTGCTTAATTCGTGGCTGCTCTGGTTTACACATTCCACATTGTATTTTTCTCGTGTCGTGACTTTTGTGGGTGGTTTCATGTCTTCTTGAGTGCCACCTCGGAGGGTCAAGAAATATTTGGCTAAACCCAAAAGGTTAACTATAAGTAAGGCCTAAAATAATTAAATTTTGTATTGATTAAAGTTAAGAAGTAAAATGGTTAATTATGCCGATGACCAGCGAAATTGTATTTATCAAAATTTACTGAAAATCTGATTTTAATCTCTAAATCGAATGGTAAACTTACTATATTTTAACAATGTTATATATTTATACAATAAATATAATATTTGACAGAAATAATTAATTAAGATGAAGTGCCCAACTGGTGAAAAGTGTGGAATTTGTGTGGGAGGTCAGGTGTTCGCGCC